CGCCCCCCTCTGCTCTCCTTGGGGTGTTGGGTGCGGCTGGCCGGTCTGAGGCCAGCACAGCCGGGAGGACAGGTGATGGCTACGCTTCTGAGGTTGCTTCGGGAAGCTCACGGCGAAGGCATGTCACCTACGACGCGTGGCTTTCAGGGCACTTTTGTACCTAAATGAAGCCATGCTTTAATTCCACTTGTTGAGCTTTGCGAAGTCCCCGTGTGGAGTGCCGTGTCTGTCACCTCCTGTTCAGTTTACAAGGACGACGGCTGCCTATCCTCGGGGTCGGCTCACGCGTGTGCTGTGCCCCTCCGTGGGAGCCCTCACACGCCCTGGCTCATCATGTGCTCAGCCTTGGGGCTCAGACACTCCGGCCAGACAGGGCCGTCCTGGGCACTGGGGATGCTGGCAGCGTCCCCGGCTGGAAGCTCCGTCAGTAATGCCCACAGACACTGCCAGCTGGCCCTCCGGGACAAGATCGCCCCAGCTGCAGGTCACTGGCCTGGAGTCAGTGTCTGGGAAGAACAGGTGGTGGGCCGGAGCTCTGCGTCAGCGAGGGCTGAGCAGGGGCATGTCCTTGTCACATACATGACTCCTCCTGAGTCTCACGTGACTTAGCGCGATGAACAGAAGCGCATGCCTGAGACACTGCGCCAGCAGTAGCACTGTGCAGCCTCTCGGCCCCCGGGACGCCAGCAGCCGGGGTCTGCAAGGCTGCTCTTGGCTGCTCAGTGAGGAGCTCGGCCCGCCCGCAGGCATGGCTGCCCCAAGCAAAGTGCAGCTGCCTTGTGGGGCTGACCCTGGTGGTCTTTCGCAGGACTGTCCCGGACACTGGGATCCTAGACCACCTTCCCTTTGGCAATGCCGCGAGGGGCCGCCTGTTTTACCCTGGGCTTCTGCTGACTTCAGGTGGACTCGGGTGCCTGGGGGACTGGGAGTGAACGCTACAGAGTGTCTCAGGGGTGGGGTCCGAGGAGGGAAGGCGCTCTTGGTCACGGGCAGGGCATGGCCGTCCAGGGCAGCTGAGACTTCAGAGGAGGCCTCTGGGATAGGAAAGGGCTGCCCGACTGTGTGCTGCGCTGGGCCGGAGACGGCTGGAGAGGGGCCTGGCTGCGCGCCCTGGGGAGGGAAGTGGCGGCTGGCCCTCGGCTCCTTCACTGCCGCCCTGCCCTGGGGGTGGGCTCAGTTAGAAATCTTCGTGTTGGCGTGAGGGGGACAGGCAGATGCAGGAGCACAGCCCGATGGGGACGAAGGCTGCTTGCGACTCCGCCTCCGGGAGCCCGAGACCAGCAGCTCGCGTCCAGAACACTCACGATGCGGTCCGGTGGCGGCGTGCTCCGGATGAAGCATTTGATCTGGCCCTTCTCCCCGTGGAGGGCGTGCTGCGTCTGGGTGCTGGAGATGATCGGGGGGCCTGTGGGGGCACACGCGTTAGGGCGGAGCTGGGCTCCCAGCTGAAGCCCTCGCGAGCCCAGCCCTTGGTGAGCATTTGCTAGCCCGTGTGTGCGCAGGGCGGGCCAGCGCTCACCACCTCCCAGGGACGGCCGTGAGGAGGGGAGGTGTGTGGGCACACGCTGGCTGCTGGGGGTGGAGCCTCCTGACGTGAGGGAGCCCAGGAGTTGGGGTAAAGGAAGACGGGGCCAGCCTGAACAGGGCTCCCTTCTGGCATCTCCCAGCCGTCCAGGTGAGGGCGCCCTTGCCTCACAAATGGGGCAGCTGTGCTCCGGCGCTGGGGAAGAGGAGTGGGCTCTTTGCAGTGCAAGGGCAGGCCCGGCCGGCCCGGCCCCTGGGACCACACCCCACGCGCTCTCTGCGGGGGGGGGGGGGGGGGGGGGGGTGGTCGGGCG